GATTCATCCCCATCTAGGGACATCGATCCGTCCTTAGTTGGAGACTCTGATTCATCCCCTGAATAACAGGAKATAGACTGATCCAAATGAGCTTGGAGAAGGGATTTGGTGGGAATCGCCGGTGTGGTCGTGTGGTTATTTTTATTTTCTTTTTCTTCTTTATTATCGGTGGTTACTGAATGTGAATGAGATTGAGTGGAGGGACATGCAATGGTGATAGATGTAGGTTGCCGGGTTCTAGAAAGCCTCTTCTGAAGCCTAGCAGCAACTGTTTGAAGGACAGTGGTGGGGGTCTTCTTCGGAATCGGAATCGGATTCGGAGGGATCACTTCTAAAGCAGAAATCTTGGAGACAGGCGCTGTGGCCTTTAGAGGGCTAGGGGGAGGCTCAGGGAGCCTGGGGGAAGGCTCGGTGTGTCCCTTTGGTGGGGGAGGGTCCTTACTGGTTGGATCCGGAGGGTCCTTGTTACCCTTTGGGTTGGGCCCGGTCATGGTTCCTGGTAGTTCGATGGTGCAATTCTTAGTTGGCCTGTGTAGAATCTAGTACTAATTCTAAGTATAATTTTCAAGTGAGAATTGTATCTTCGTGCGAAGATGAAACACGGCTGCGTTTGAAAAAGTTCGTTTTGAAAATTATACTAAGGTACACGTAATCTCGTGCAATTGGTCTTTCATTTTGAAGAATTGCTGCTCCGAGCTGATAATCAGATGCGTCAGTGTAAATATGGAAAGGTTTGTTTAAATCAGCAAAGGTGTTAATAGCATTGTGAGCTAKGAGAGCCTTCATCTCCTGAAATGCTTGGTTGCATGCTGGTGTCCACACATAGGGTCCTGAGCCAGTGAGGGCTGTTAGTGGGGCCAAGACATGGGATTGGCAAGGCCACATGGATTTGTAGTAGTTCACTGCACCAAGGAAGGATCGGACCTGTGATTGATTTTGTGGAATCCCCATCTTGAGAATCCCATCGACCTTCTTTTGCCAAGGCTTGACTCCTGTGGGGGTGAGCCAAAAGCCAAGGAAGTCAGACTCTTTTACTGCCCACTCACACTTGAGTGGATTGCACTTCATGCCATTGGACGCCAATTGCTTCAAGACTGGGTCGACTGATGAAAGGTGTTTGCTGAATGGTCCTTGGGACCAAATCCCCATGTCATCAATATATACTTCAACATCTAGACCAGATAGGATCTTTGTGATGAAGGCTTGTGCATAGTCGGGAGATGACTTGAGTCCCATGGGCAATCTGAGTCATCTGTAATTGCCATGGGTTGTAGTGAGAGTGCAAATCTTTTGGCTCTCCTCATCCAATTCAAAGCAGTAGAGCATCATAGAAAGATCAATCTTTGTGAAGTGATCATACCGTGTTCTTCGATTCATGATGTCTTGGATTTTGGGTAGATTAAACTTAGGTCTTTTAATCCTTTTGTTTAACTCCCGTAGGTCAACAAGCCATCTGACTCTGCCGTCCTTTTTGGGAATGATAAAGGCTGGGAAGCCCCATTCTGAATTGCCTGTGGGAGCAATCACTCCCTCATCAACAAGATGCTGGTATTCCCTTTTGAAGACATCTCTGTGTCTGTAGGGAACTGGATATGGGTTTATGTAAACTGGTTCTGCATTATATTTGCCGTTGCCAAACTCAGGGAGACAAATATTGGAAATGAAGACATACTTGGATGTATCAAAGCTTCCTTGAGCTGTTGTGGTGACTGAGCTGAATTGGTCCTGAAAGGGGACTGTCCCTGGTGGAAGGCAACGCTCATGAACAAGGCACATTGTGCTCCCACTATCAAGGAGGACCTTGAATGTTTGCATGGTTGGTAGGTCTTGAATGGATTTACATACTAGGATGACCACAGGTAGTACATCCTGCACATCTGGTGGTGTTTTCAGAGCTCTCAAGGTGGTTGCCGTTGGGTTCTTAAGAGCTTCATCATTATCAAGACCATAAAGCTCAAGGCTGTCTGCTGGTGATTGAGTGCATCGTGGTTGAGGCAATGCAAAGAAAGCCTCTCTCGGATGTCACCACTGTTGGTTTGGTCTTGGAATCGAGCCGTAGATCCGGAGTTGCTGTTGGACTGTAATGATACATGGCTTGGAGGACCACTGGAATTAGAGCCATGATAATTCTGAGTTTGGATTGATTGAKGTTGGAAATTGCTCATGTTCCCATGTTCATCCATTGAGCATAGATACATTCGCGGTGTGAACCTCTTGCTGCTTGCACTGTTGTTGCTTGCACTTGAATTTCCTTGGTTTCTCTTGTTTCCTCCGTAGTTTCCCTGGTTGCTCTGATTTCCTCTGTGATTGTTGTTATTGTTACCTCGGTTGTAACCATTCTTATTGAATCGACACTCTCCCCAAAGATGTTGTCCCTTGTGTTTCCTACAAGGCATTGCATTGATCCTATTCTGTCTTTCTTCTGGGGTCTCATTTGGTCTCTTGTTGTTGTTGTTGTTGTTGCGCCTCTTTTGTTTCCCATTTTTTACAGAATTAGTGTCCTCCGCTGGTCTCTTCCTTCATTGTCTTCTCTCATTCTTGTCAGCAAGTTCTTTCTGATCTGTCATGAACTTAACTATCCCTTGTGGTGTATCTTCAAGAATGTCTCTTCCGCAACTGATATATTGATCCTGCCAAGCATTGGGAAAGGAGTGGAAAAGAATCTCATTGATCTCTCACTCTGATAAGGGGCCTTTGATCCCATGAAGGATGTTGGCTCTATTGCAACACACCTGGACTTTCTCCGCGTGCTCCTGACAGGTAACGTCATGAGGCTTCTTTATTGCGTCTGATTCCAGGTACGCAATCACCCCATCTCTTGCTCTCTTTGAAGGCGCATAGAATTCTCGGAAGGACGTAAGGGCCTGTTTCCACTGTTCCCTGGTGTTTCTTCCTATTCTCAATCGGTCTGGACCCTTCCACATGTTGTTCCAATTCTGTCTCGGCCGGTGTGCTAAGACCGTGAGCCAGTTCTCGTCTATTTGTTCATCCCTCAGTTTCAAGTCATCCGCTGCATCCTCAAAGGCTTCTTGTACATGGAATAACTCCTGTACTCCATATTGTCCGGAGAAGACCACACAGCTTCTTTCCTTCCTCATTGCAGGAAATTCCATTGTTCTCAGATTAGTTCCCCTTCCTGAAGTCTCTGTCCTTGCTGGGTGATCCACAAAGAGACTGACCCTTTCAAGGTCACTCTTCTTGAATTGGTTGTCGAGGGTACTAAGGCATGATTGGTATGAGTTTCGATTTCGTGAAGACGAGTTTGAGTTGGTCTTCACAATGGTCAATGCAGTATTTTTGGTTGATTTGCTTAAGGGTTGATTGATTTGGATACAGGAATCACTTAGTAATTACTGTGCACAAGATTACGTGTACTCTTAGTATGTTTAAGTGTGTATGAAATTGAAATTATAAGATTAAGATTCTCGCGCTCCAACTTTAGCTTTCAGTAGCTCTGATTAGATCCTGTGTAGCTCTCAGTACTAAATCTACACAGGGTTCTTAGTATTATTCTGATCTACTGACATCTTTGTTCCGTGCGAGGTAATCTATTTCTGATATCGTGGACCTCTTACGATCCTCGGACCTCTWRYGAKKGATCCTATGATACATACATATAAACAGTACCTTACGATAGGTACGTAGGAATGGTATGCTCCTTCACTCCTTTCTTCGAAGCATCATACGTACATATACTTCCGATACTGTACGTACGTATCCGTTGCAAGTACTACTACTACTATGTCTTCATAGTATGGTGATTTCTTGTTGCAAAGAAGAATAGCAGGTGCTGGTGGTACTAGTAGTCTTGACAACACCACATGACAATATAAGATTTGAAAATGTGCATTCATTCTCCAAGTTCTACTTTGTTATGCAGCTATGGTGCTAGTAGTAGTAGTAGTAGTAGTAGTAGTAGTAGTAGTAGTAGTAGTAGTAGTAGTAGTAGTAGTAGTATGACAGCTACAGTAGGTCTGGTGATGCAAAGCACCATTTCCCCATGCTGTGTTCTTCCAAGAATCACGGGTGTCACAATGTTCTTGTTGTTCCTCATGTCACTGCCTAATTCATGGCCCAGGGTAACAGAAGAAAAAGCATCAAGAGCATGAGGTATCCCTAATCTCTTGGTAAAAATTTCATCTTGCTATCCCCGAACAAATGACTTTGCTTTTGTTCCTTTTGTCACCAGCACCCCCACTGATGTCTAAAATATGAGCGGGTGCTCGACCGGTGCGGGACGAGGATAACATTGTGTATGCAAAAATTGTGACCATGACGGGGCTCGAACCCGCAACCTTCAGTTTCGAAGACTGAAGCTCTACCATTGAGCCACACGGCCATACGAGATGTAAAACAAAAACCATATATCAAATGTGTACAGTGCTGTCATCGATCTTCAGGAAAATAACTCTTTGAATTGAATTCGTATCGTACGGTATTCTCGGCATTCTTAGGCAAGGGGATCTCGGTTTCGTCGCAACATTTAACATGAATGACTACTATGTGGCGATAAAACCGGTCTTGTCGTTCCATTTCTGTCCTCGTCCCGGCACCACTCGAGAAAGATGCCCTACTGCGGAGGTACCGTTGCACGTACCGGTACGTACCGTTACAGAAACCTGGACAAGAAGTACTGTAAGTATTAGCAATTGTACGTACGTATTGTAGCGTACCCGAAGTACCGGTATGACTATTGATCAGAGTATTTTTTATGTTAGTCCTGCAATCGTGATCATGACCGAACCGCGTCATCTTTCGTGTCGCCTCGCCATTCATTTTTCTTCTACGAAGTACGATACTACTTCTGAGGAGAGAAAGATGTGATTCAATTTTGCAGTACTCGTACTCGTTACTCGTAGTCGTATCGTACGATGCGTACTGTATGAATTCCTGTTCCCGCCGGGACGTACCGTACGGTACCGGAGAAAAAGTACCGGAAACAATACGAACCGCATTACTCGAACTATGAGATAGGTTACGGATAGTTGCTTTTACACTATTTCTGTAATCAAAGTTCCATTCCACCCGTACCGTACAGAGCTTCGGTATTTTGTGCGATAGAATCTCCATCATTGTTCATCATTGCTACGCATATTGTTTGCTGAATTAGCGAAACGAAGAAAAACAAGCATGCCATACACGACAAGAATCAACACGCCAATCAATCATGTCCAGCTGACAAATGTGGCGGTCGTTCGGATGAACAAGGGTGGGAAGCGCTTCGAAATCGCCTGCTATCGAAATAAGGTCATGGATTATCGACAGGGTCTCGAGCAAGATCTTTCAGAAGTGTTGCAGACGGAGCGGGTATTTGCTAATGTTAGCAAGGGCGAGTTTTCCAAAGCGAAGGACATGCAAAAGGTGTTCGGAACCAAGGACGAAGATGAAATCTCTAAAATAATACTGTCCAAGGGACAGCTGCAGGTTTCGGATAAAGAACGAGCGCAACAGCAAGAAAAGACATCAGCTCAAATAGCAGAGTGGATTTCCAAGAACTGCGTCCAACCAGCAACAGATCGCCCTTACACCATGTCGCAAATAAGGCACGCCATGAAAGAAGCGAACGTATCGATACATCCAACAAAGCCCCTCAAGCGACAATATCTAGAGTGTGTCAAACTGCTACAAAAGATCATGCCGATCCAACGAGCAAAAATGGAACTCCTTTTGGTAGTTTTGCCCGAGGACAAGTTGGAGACGGAAGAAATTCTGAAGGAAAACAACGTGACCTTTTCGGAACCAACAGAAACATCTCCGTACCTCAAGTATCAAATATTGGTGGATCCGAGTTTGTACAGAATCCTCAGCGACGCCATGCAAAAGATGTCTGAGGCCCGCATAGAAATCGTGAATCAGATTGTTACGAAACAAGGAGATGTCAATTTAGAAGAAGAAGTTGGAAACAAGAGCGACGGCATTCAAAGCAATCCAAATGCAGCATACACCAACGAAGACGATGACTTTCATGCTGCGCAATTGATAGGCAAGGTCAATATTTCTTCCAAGCAAAATTATGATGACTCGGACGATAGCGAAATCGAAGGAGTGCGCGTGAACCGGAGAAAAGCCCAAAAAAAGAACAAAAAGAAAAAAGGGAAAGCGAAACGAAGAAATTTCGAGGACGCAGACCAGAAGAACAATTCTCACAATGAGAGATCGACCGATGGATTTTCCAGTCAAGCAATAGGATTACATCAGTCCGTAGATGCATCTGCTGAGCCTTCGGACAACAGCAAGAATGCTGTCTCGATTACTGGCAATGGATCGGATCCATCCGGTAGAAAGAGTTGCAACACGTGTGGAGGATTCTTTGATACTGCTTCCGAATTTCGGGCACATTTCAAGAGCGATTGGCATCGTTTCAACCAGAAATTAAAAATGAAAGGATGCGCTCCAGTCAGCGAAAAAGAATTTTTGCTATGCGACTCGGGCTCGTTTTTTGAAAATGGCGATATGTTATGATCGGGATGACCAAGGTTCTAAAGTGAAACTTTTCTTGATGGAAATAGCTTACTTTGATACTTTGAAACTTAAAACCCAACCTACTTTCTTTGCATCCGTAATAGTAAATCCTGCTCCATATGCAATTTGCACGCCATCGTGATGGTTGACAATGGACTATCATATGAAGAGGAAGTAGACTAAATTGACTACTAGATTTAAGATTCTATCAGAGTACTCTGAAATATAAGACGAAATGCATCAATTAGAAAACGTCAAAAAGTCTTTCTATTGAACTCTGTTTTTGGCTGGGCTGTTTGCTATTTCCCCAAAACAGGAATGCTTCAAGAAGTACTTTGACCAGAGGAGCAGCATAGAATTTGTCTTCTTTTGATGTGCAACACTGCCACTACTACTAGTACTCAAGTACTATCATAATACTAGAAGTGCTACTAATGATACTAATACTAGTTCTAATAGCTAGTAATAGCTAGTACTAGTATTACTAGCTAGTAGTAGAAAAAGCATGAACAAATACACTACGTTGCAACAAGTAGTACTCAATTCTGGTCCTCCAATTCTTTGTCAACAAAAATAAATCACATAATAGTACCACTTCTATCCTCATTATTACTCATTGTGGACTACTACTAGTAGTACATATAGTAGATGGCTAAAATACTACTAATATTAATCAAGAATCAAACAGGGACATTAGAGAACAGCCTATTTCCATGCACAGTACTAATAAGCTACCAGATCCCTGACTAGTAGGTCAACCACATTGACCACTAGTAGTAGCGTTGGGGGGTACACCTATGTGGGATAAAAATTCTTGCTAGCATTATGACACATGTATGTTTGCACCATACATAAAGGCTATAATGGAGACTCAGGGGTTATGCCGGGAGACAATTTCCATAAAGCAAAAACATAGTCCTCAATATGTGGTACAAATAAAGTCAATATGGTACCCTAGTGCTACCAACACAGGGCTAGTATTAACTATACATGGGGGATCTGGGAAAATTACCAGAAATTGCCTTCAAATCAGATTTATATCTGCTTTATGATTAAACAAAACAAAAGCCTTAATATAATATTTAACCTTGTGAACTAGAAGAGGCACTATGTGGGCCAGAACCATAACTTCTTCTGTGGGGAAGAATACTCCTAGTAGTTTCTCCAAGGGGTAGTGCCTCCCTCCAAGGGGTGTTAGTGGAGGTGCAACGAGGGTTTTTGTGGGCTGGGTTAAGTGAAAAAATGTACCATAGTAGTTTGGATGGTGTGGGTTGTAATGGCAGAGGCCAGAGTAGTCTCTGGCAAGGCAGGTATTTTGTGCATTCTCTTCTTCTTTGAGTACGAAGGCAGGCTCAAAGATCAGCCCGTCACAGGTTGTTTATGATGTGGTAATAGTGAAAAATACTGAGTGATAGTAGGGCGTGTGTTGGAGATGGATGCAAGGGAAGCTTGGCAGATGCTGTCACCATAAATAGTCATCTCATATACTCAGAGGTAATATGAGAGCAAGAAGGGGGAAGCATTGTCACACAATAATATTTCAGGATCTTCTGGGAATAAATTGGCTTGAGAGGGGCATGTCTTTGGTTTGTGGGCCAAGAGATTGTGGACTCTCTTTATTAACCATTGTTCTTGCAGCGCTTTTTTTTTAGAAAGAGGGTAGCTGTGGAGGTCTTTATTTTGCTGTTCCCACAATGAGAGAAGTAAGGAAGAATTCAATAAGATAGCCCCCAGCACAGTTGGGGATTAAGTACTGGAGTGAAGGTCAGGGTGAGTAATACACTGAAGTGAAAGGTGGCCAGCAAACAAATGGTGCCATCCAATATTGCTCTGGAAATGAAGAATTGGATGGAGAGATACAGGATATCTCTCTGGTGAAACAGTGCCAGTATCCAGCCATTCAGTAAGGCAGCTGGCGAGAGTATCAGTGACAATTGATCTGAAGCCTAGGGTGGATATCCATTGTCACAAGGATGCAATTGTCTGCTGTCTTCATTGAAGTCATGATGGATGAGAACATCTAAAGAGATGCTTGGAATCTTCAGTAGATGGACAAAGACTCACAACAACTGTCATGTGTTTGGTAGTTCCACTGACTGGTGATGGTGGGAGCGGGCAAAATGTGAGAAGAAGGATCCAATGCCATTTACAGCAGCTTCAGGTTTCTTGGTGATTGATTGTTGCTTGTTCTTGCAACTAGCAAGGCAAAGACAACTCACACAGCTTCTTCCAGCCCCTAAACAGCTACATCCAGGCATCTTCCCAGCTGGGATGCGTGAGCAGGTGCTGAATTTGGTACACTCACAGCAAAAAAGGGGCTTGTGCTGCTTAATATTCCTCCCATTTTCATGGTTGTCATTTCAGTTTTTGACAATTTTTTGTCCACTTTTGCTAAATTCTGACATTATCACTGTGTAGACCTTGGCAGGATTTCTACAGGGAGAAAAACTCAGCAGCTGTGTCAAATGACGACTAGAGCCAGTGGAGGTCTGTAGAGCCTCCAGCCTAACCCTGAGCACAGTTTCAGAACCCTCTCCTACAGGGCTACAACCACAGCTACTCAGACTGGCTTGATCCCTGTCTGGTAGTAGTAGTAGTAGTTGTTGTTGTTGTAGTAGTAGTAAAGATAAACAGTTATCTTTTTCCCGTCGTGTGTTGCCAGATATTGCCAAAAGGCAAATCTTGGTACTGGAGAGGAGGACTTTGATATGAAGGAAGGCTTCATCAAGAGTGAGGCTGTAGCTGGTTTAACAGCGCTGTCTTCAGGGGCAACTACAACCACAACTGCAGGAGGAGCTGCAGGAGGAACAAAAACAGCGTCAATTATTCTTGCTGGAGATGCGTCCAGGGATGATGGGGAAGAAGAACAGCAGCAGGAGCTGGAGTAGTAAACCGCTGTAGCTTCCTCCAGCAATTTCACACCTTCCCTTGTTGAATCAACCCCAGCAAAGAAGAGATCTTATCAGCAACACCAGAGGAAATCTGTCCCTGACGCTACTGTATTCAATGAATACCTTAGAGTGGCGTAAAGGATGTAGCAGAGAAATTTCTTGGAGCTGCTGTTAGCATGATGAACACGTGGTGGTAGCAGCAACAACAACAATCTTACCATGGTCCCCCCCCACCATTACCACTATGGTACTCCACCACCAACTGCTCCTGTGTTGTTTGCGTCTGCGTCTGTTGCAGTGACAACCGTGGAATCAACTCGTAAACGCCAACACACAGGAGAGAAATCCCATAGTGAAGAGCACCATGGTCCAGAGGATGTTTAAATTGTTAAACTACATTAAACTACATTAACTAGACTAAACTGTATCGGTCTTGATACAAAACAATGAGCTTTAGCGTACTAAATACTGTGGAGGAGGCTTGAGCGTAGTACTATGCACTGTACAGCACTTTACAGGAACTTAATCCAGTTTTCTTGTGAAGGCTTTTGTGTATACTTTTGTATATAACCAATGCTGGACTAGAACTGTTTTTGCTATGTCAGCGTGTGGGAAGTCCCACGAAAACGGTTCGGATTGGTATGCACATGTTCTGTATCATAAATTTGTCTTCATTACAGTATAATGCTGAGGTTTTACTCATTACAGTATAAAAGGTTATCTACTCAATCATTTGTGTGTATCAACAAACACGGAAGCTGGGTCACAGGGGTATACATGAAAACCACAAACAAGACCACTCAGCTTGCTAGCAGCTAGCAGCAAGATCCCCCCCCCCCAATTAACAGTTCATTAATACTGTTTGCAAGCAAACACAGTGTTGCTGATTCAAACGAAGCTAAGGGAAGTAACCATTGTAAGCGTTTCATCTTCTCCACCATGGTTGTATTGAATCTGTTGTGTTGATTCTGTATTGTATCGATTGAATCAGTATTGTATTGATAGAATCAGTATTGTATCAATCAAATCAGCAGTATTGTATTGTTTGAATTGCATCGTCAGATTGATTTAAACTTTGCCATTCTAACTTCACCATACTAACTAAACTTCCATCTTCCGAAACAACAAAAGGAACCAACTGACCATGGGATTCACCCTTGAAAAACTCCATTTCCATCAGGCAAAAGCCTGTGTCCTACATGGAAGTAACCTCCTGCAAGGTCATTCCTTAACTCTTTGTGAGGAGGAACCTCAGGATCAGTTGCTGGTGGCATCCGCATGAACGTCGATAGGATCTGGTTGTGTCCAATGGTACTGCACTGGAAGTTGTACAAGTTGATGAGAAGGTTCATTGTGATTCTTCTTTCCCCATACTCCTCCAAGCACATTATGTCCTTGATTCTTGGGAACTGTCCCTGTATCATGCACATTCCCCATTCCGACATCTGTCTCAAGGACGTTGTGTCCCTGTTGAGAAGTATCCACTGTGGTTGATCTGGGTCCCTCTGTGAGCTCTTGATGAGGCTATCCTTGTAATCTTTCAGAGCAAAAGCTGAATCCACTACAACCTTTCTTCCACTACTCTCTTTATGGACCTTCACGATTTGTTGGTACACACCGTGTTCAGCAATAGTAGCACTATCATGCCAAGCTCCGGGGCAGCTATAAACTGCTATTCTGATCCTTCCATCAGGGGCAAAGGCAAATACACTGTTAACAAAAGTGTTATCCTTCCATCAGGGGCAAAGGCAAAGACACTATTGACATAGTAGGTATTCTCCTTCCACACTTTATAGAATGGTCTTTGTTTATACCAGTCTCCTGAGGTTTCAATCACTTGCTTGAGCCCATCTGCAGCAGCCCAAACCCGTTGTTCTCCAATTGCCTTAACATAAGTATTCACTTCTTCCTCAGTTGGGACACTGACCATGGCGAGTGGGTGTTTGTGAAGGGCAAACAGCATTGCTCTCCTTGAAAACTTGAGCCACTTATAGATCACTGTGGATGTTAATCCAAAGGCCATTGCCATCGACCTTGCTACAGATCCTCTTGTCCTGAACCAATAAAGGACCAATCCAATAGCACCACAGACTGCATCAACCTCTCTCTTCTTCCCCCTGGGCTTGCCACTGGCGTAACAAGGAACCTCCATGATCTCATTGTTGTTGTTAACAGTAAACTTGTTGTATACAGGAGCAAACAGGTCAACAAGCTCCCTGAAGACCTTGTGGTCCACACCACAGCAGTTGAGGAGAGCTTGATCAAGTCCTGAGTGAAACATAGTATGGAGGAAGGGGGAATCAGCATATCTCCAAATTGCAAGTCGTGGCGTCGGCCTATCCCTCCTTCGACGCTCCTCTGGAGACAGTTTGCTTTTATAACTTTCCTCTGCATCTGCGTTCAACTGGAGGTACCAGTACATTGTAACGACCTCCACTAATCCCATGATGGCATTCTTGTTTGTTGCCATAGGGGAACGTTGGTGTTTTAGTGAGGCTAGGAATGGTTTGTTGTTGTTTGTTTGTCAACTCGTTAGCGTAAAACATGAACTCATTTTTTGTTACTGATATTGAAAATAAGCAGAGAATGTGTCCATGTTTTACTCTAGTGAGAGTGATTTTCGTGTTTTACTTTGTACCAGAAAGCCACCATATTGCGCGTGTGAGGGTCTTTTTAGTCTTTATGTTGGAAAATCATAGTTAAGATTCCAAATTTCCAAAAAGACTGGCTTCGAGCCGACGTGCTCTCAGCAGTCTGTCCATTGAAATTTGTATTCCCTTTATTATAGAAATGCTAAAAATGCTAGATTGGCCAGTTTGGCAATTCTATTAACGGGAATCACCCAAAAACACATACTTCTATGAGTGCACGACTGAAGTCTAATTCAATTTTTACATATCTATGTTTACAGCAATGATGGGTGATTCCCGTAAACATAGATTCAAGTAAAATTGTATTAGACTTCAGACGTGCACACATAGAAGTATGTGTTTTTGACACAGATACATAGATTTTTGGTTCAGGCAGGCTCTCGACAACCAAAAGTATGCAAAAAACACAAAGATTTTTTGGAATCCTCGATTCAAAAATTCATTAGTCACGAGCAACTGACAGCCAGTTCTCAAGTGTCAACGAGCGCCAGGGGAATGAAGTTATTTTCTGTTAATTTCAAGCAGAATTCCCTATTCCAAATTAAGCACATTTAGGGAGACACAGTCTATGACACTCAAATCTATGTAGTCAGATTTTTATTCCTGTGAAGTCATGGACTCGATTTATGTCAGCGTAGATTCTATGTTTACGGGAATCACCCAATCACCCAATACACAAAGAACAAAATACTAATACTACGAGTGCGAACGTACAGGTTCATACTGCTCGTACTCGTACCGTTGAACTCCGTCAACTGCCGACGTGTCATATCATGTCTCCTCCAACTTACTGTACTGTACTTGTTTCCCCCTCCAAACTGGTACGAGAGTACTAGAAATGAAGCACCAGATTTCGTACGTAGATTTAATTCGTTCTACCTGTCGTGTTTTGCGATCTGCGATTTGGTGTTGTTTTCTCTATTTTCACATTACGACTACCTGGTACCAAGTACCGGTACGTACAAGAGTATTTAGAAGTCCCTTTCTGTACCGTACCAAGTACCCACATTTGAAGACATGCCATAAATAAGCTGTACCACGTTCAATTCAACGTATTTCCATTAGGTCACATTAAGCACTATTTCAGTCCTTAAATATGCCCTTTTTTGTTCAAGACCACATAGTGAATTAATTGGCGATAGTTTTTTTGTCACACATAAAATTACCTCCACTCTAGATGATTGTTTTGATTTGATCTGCAGTGATCGAACAAAATTAAATTGGTTGCGTTGCTGAACTCGAGGAGATCCATTCATCTGCACTGCTATCCGAACCAAATGGTAACAAATGATTGTGATGAGGAAAGCGAAGATCTTCTTCGTGCTTCTAGGCTGCCACAACCTATTCGGAGCGTACGGTGTGAACAGCGATATTATTGAGATGAATTCGATATCGAGAAATAATGACGAAAAACATGGACGTAATTTAGTGAATATGATGGTGCCTGGGGATCGAGTGTCATCGATTGACAAAAGTAGTGCCATCTGCACAGCAGATTCTGGTGATGGGCAAGAAGTTGAAATTGTGAGAACGGTGGTAGACTACTATTACGCGATAGAGAGCACGGACAAAATCACCACAAAAGATTCTATCGGACGGACAATGATTCGTTTGCTGGAAAATAAGCTTTTTAGATCTATTAGACCAGCAGTGCTTTGGTGCTATTTTGACGAACCCCAGAATACAAGACGCAACCTACTCCGAGATGTGGCCGACGCTTTTGATAAGGGAGATCATTTACGGAAACTAACTCTCGAAGAAGCAAGAAGACGTTTGAGCATTGTGAGTGTCTCAAATAATCCCGATGATGAAGAAACAACAAGTAAGTGGTTTGGAATGCACATGCGCGTGCGAATTCATATATTTAAATTCTGAATATTGTCGCTATTTCCTTTCAAATAGGAAGGTCCCATGTATTAGCATTGCGCAATCCTCATCATTTACTTTTGTCGTACCGTACTTACGTTGTAAATAGTTGAATGTAATTTTCCGACAAATCATACCGGGAACTGCACTGTGATGCACGGAAAAGTGACGGGTAAGTTTCAGTTTTAGAGGATCTGAATGCAGTACATTCTAGCCAATTATTTGTCCTGTATCTCACCAGAAAAACGCTTTCATTTTTTCAAAGTAATGCATCATGCGACGAGTGACGTTAGCCTTGCAGTAGCGTCCATTTTCGACTCTACACAAAAAGCGATGGATTATAACGAAATCTTTATCCCCCTTGATTTAGATGAAAATGCCGCCAACATTACCAACATTGAGTGGCTCGGGGAAACAGAAGAAGAAGCAATCAATGGTGGTCCCATCATAGTTTCTGATGTCCCCATTATCAGTGAAGTCAATATCGACGAAATAGAGCAGAAAGAAAATAAGCAATCTCTGCTCGCTTACGCCTTGACAATTCCAGTTTTGCTACTTATTGCCTTTGCACTGTTGGTTACAAAGAAAAAAACTAAGCGGAAGATAAAAACAAGAGAACAAGTTCGGGCGATCAGGAGTTTCGATGACGTTCTGATTGGCACTGGAGATCCTCCAGGAAGTTTTCATGAAGGAATGTATCACTACACATGCCAAGGAGTTCGGTATCTCTCTACAAATTGTGCCGATTGCATCGAAACAAAACGAAATGGTTTCTTCACCGCGCTTGATCTTGAGACCATCTCAGAAAAATCCCTAGAAGATGACGAAGATTTTTCGACTCATCGCAAAAAGCATTTCGTTAACGCATCTCAATCTGCATTGGGCAAGAAGCATTCATCGATCGACGTCCATGTATGTAATAGTGCGAGATGTCCAATTTGCACTTACAAACCACGCGATGTTTGCTTCGTTTCAAGGTCAGAAAACTTTCTCGGAGCACTTCGTGAAGGGGAGTTGGAAGTGTGATATTTCCTATTTTTATAAACCACCACCTTATTTGTGCAGAGCACTAATAGCACAGGCCAGGAAATTTAGCTGTTGACAACTGTACTGACTCAAATCGGTTTCCGTACATTCATTAGAGTTGCCTTCACGCATACGTCTAGAATGAATAATGTAATCATTATTGAAAATTTATCGTGGGGAAAAATATTGTGGATAGCAAAGCCATCAGCGCAGAGTTTGATAGGTTGCATTACGCATGTAGCATAAATTGCAGTGTCTTCATCAAATAATGTTACGAAGAATACAGTAATGCTGAAGGCATTCTATTGAATAATACTACGGTTATCATAACAAGTGATCGCGGCACTAAGAAAGTGGTTCCCATCCTTGATTTAATGATGCCATCCTTAGTGCAGTAGAACACAGTAAAAAATGTTACTGAGATAGTTAGCAACTATTCTAGTGGCGGAGAACCAATCCTGCTTCTTTCTCAGAAGGAAAATCATGCTGGAAATTTTGGGGAGCAACACTCAGTAGAGCTCTGTAGAGTTTGTACTGGTAAACAATGGCATCATTAAACCAACAATGTGAACCACTTTCTTAGTGCTGTGATCACTTGTTATGATATCCATAGTAAATAAAACAATCTAGGCTGTATGAAGTATCCTTCTTCTTTCTTTCTGATTTTTGTCCCTTGGACATTGACCTGAAACAAAATTGATAGCTCTATTAGAAGCAACACAAATTACTCTGGAACAAAAAAGAGTCCAAGAACATATTATGTTATTACCAATGGGGGTGCAACCAGTTGTGGAACTGTAGTAGTAGTAGAGGAGGCAAGAAATGCCAAAGGTACCCAGTTCTTGTTCTACATCTGTGTTGTAGCATGATTGATTGATATTTTGATGCAGCAGGAAAATCTAGGTTGTAATACTAGCTAGTACTAGTCTTTCTTGTCAGTAGCTGTAGTAAAAATGAAAAATTCATATTCTTCTTCATAAGATGCTTCTTCTTCTTCTCATTTTGTCACATTTTTTATCAACTTGTTACTTGTCACATTAATGTTCATTGCCTAGTACATAGATCCTAGCTAGTATTATCCAAATTCTTCATTTGGTAGTGTGCTAGCATCAAAAACCAATAATTTTGGTCTTGTTTCCAAAAAAGAGGAAGAAGAGGATGCCTCCCCTGCTAACATTCAGACTGTTACTAAGCAGAGCATTCAGGAGTTTAAATTGAAGCAAAAATTCCAGTACTCATTTCTACATAGCATTTGGAATTTCAAATCAATGTTCCCAATGCCTCAATTAACGCAATTTCAATTGTTATTTTATGTGTGGTAGCAGTAGTATCAATCATCATTGTCATCTGTCTCTTCAAGTAAGTGAGTAGCATCAAAATTACATGTAACCATGCGTGCTTGCTTACTGCACTGGTAAAAAAATTAATATTAACAAACACTTGCTAGTATTTTTTCCTGAAGTAAACACACCTCAAGCTGGTTACAAAATGCATGGACTGAATTTTGTAACCAGAGCTTCTTGAAACCAACCCCTTCCCTACTAGTATAAAGAGGCCCTTCTTTTCTCCACAATACTACTAGTAGTCTGGTTACAAAAAAATGCACAGTCTGCCTGTGTGTGCTTGTAACCAGGCAAATACACCTCAACAGATACATTGTTAAGTACAAAAAAGAAAATTAATTGGGAACAACTTAGTACAAACTCAGCTAGAAAATACAGTAGTAGAAATCACAGCAACCAATGTATCAGTAGTATCAGCAGCAACTTGTATCACATCAGTGCCTCTATCAGTGGTTCCCTGATATTGTATCAGCATCCTCCAAATCAGCACTGGCTCCTTTTCAGGAGTGCTGGCTCCACATCGGTGAAGGCTCTGTATCAGTGAGCGGCAACTTGTATCATACTATCAGGGAGCATCCTCCTTGTCCTCTCTATCACCAGCAATTAATCGTCCTCTGTACCAAGGAACATCCTCTGTATCTGCAATTAATTGTCCTTGGTATCTGCAATCAATTGTTCTCTGTATCAGCAAGCATCAACTTGTATTGTATCAGCAGAAACTTGTATCAGCATCTTGTATCAGCATCCTCCGTGTCAGTGAGAGTCCTCCTCCTCTGTAGTATCAGCTAGCATCTTCTATATCAGCAAGCATCGTCCTCTGTTCCAGCAAGCCTCCTTTTGCTGCATGGATACATGCAATTTGGTGCTACTCAATTGATCATGTAAATTACTGTGGCACCACATCAGTCCCAGCATGCCACAAGAAGTACTACCTGCAGTAACACCACCAACAACAAGCTCCTCTCGAGCTAAAGGTCCTCTCAAGCTTGTTGTTGGTGTTGCTGAAGATAGAACTTGTAGTAACCTCACTTCAATCTCAAGCTAAAGCTCTGGATCTCAGTGATGTTACTGGTGTGCCAAGAATGTAACTGGAATTTTTTACCTGTTAAGGTCTGTGTTATTCTCACTAAAGCTCTGGCACACACAGTACGAGTTTATCGGAGTAAAATGTGTAACCGTGTAAACCCTACAATGTCCTACAGGGCAAAAAGGTATTCTACTCATGCAACTCAAACACCAAAAACTATTACTAGTAGCATGATCCTACATACTAGATCTACTACTACTAGTAGTAGTAGTAGTATTCGGTCACTCTTTTGACCCCAAAGAAGAACAGTTCAGTAAGAAGCTAACCACAAGAACAGCTCTTGAAAGGCCTCTAATGAGATCCCCTTTGGGGATATGCTTGGTCATAGTGTTAAGAAGATTGCTGTGCATCATTGTTACATGATTAGAGCCCAGGTGGGAGCCGGTTCTCCTCCATTACTAGTACTAACATCCGTAGGTGTGACCAAAATTGGCAAATGGTGCTGTGCTGGTGGTTAGAAAATAGGCAGGCCAGATTTCTATCAAAAAACAAATCTAGACCACTAGACTAAGCGCCCAGTCCAAGTTGATATAATTTCTTAAAGATCCATGTCATTGGGAAGCCAAAGGATGCTCTAGTGGCTTAGAACTAGTAGTCAGCCAAAGTTACAGTAGTAGTGGATGGCCAAAATTCGTTAATTCTAGGTGTAATTTTATCGATTAAACTCGTACTTCAAAACTCTTCCCGCACGGACCTCAACAGGTACAAAATTCTGGTTACATTCTTGGTAGACGCGCGGACCGTGCGACGCAACAGATAAAATAATTGTACCGTATGGTACGTACCGTACGGTAGCCAACGAAAGTGGAGGCCAGTACATGAAGCGAAGCGCCAAAGAATGGGTGCTGCGCCAGTTTTTTTTAATTTAACGAGCTCGCCGCGCCGACTTAGTTTTCTGTCTCATCAACATGGGTTTTTAATCTACTGTATTTGAAAGTATGGTTGTAAGTAGAGTATGCCGGGTACGTACTCTCTGGTACCCTTAGCGGTAAGAGTACTACTCGAAGCGTGTTTACGAGTGAAACAGTGGGAGCAGCGACAGCAAAAACTGAAAGGGGGTTTCGAATAACATGAAACACGACACAACAACCGAAGAATACTCCATTCATCCCGTATTCATACTAGTAGTTTTCACTTGAAATCGAACAGCAATCAGCGATTCTTCATTAATCAACAAGAAGCAAGCAACAGCGAAAAGACAACATGGCCCGAACCAAGCAAGTAAGTAGTAATACAGAATGAAGAGTCCTGCTTGTATCATCTACCATGGCAACAATCATTCGTTGATCTGTAAACTAGTGCGCAGCTTGGATTGAATTACTTGGAAGCTTCTTCTTCTCTCTTTCCGCGATGTGATTCGTACTCCTTATTAATCTCAACGTAGTCGTCTAACCAATGGCTTCATCCCTCTCTTTTACTAGACCGCACGCAAGTCAACCGGAGGAAAGGCTCCCCGCAAGCAACTTGCCACCAAGGCAGCCCGCAAGTCTGCCCCTACCGCCGGAGGTGTCAAAAAGCCTCACCGTTACCGTCCAGGAACCGTAGCCCTCCGTGAGATTCGCAAATACCAAAAGTCCACCGACCTTTTGATCCGCAAAGCTCCTTTCCAGCGCCTCGTTCGCGAGGTCGCTCAAGATTTCAAGTCCGATCTCCGCTTCCAATCTACTGCTGTCTTGGCCCTGCAAGAAGCCGCGGAAGCTTACTTGGTTGGACTATTCGAAGATACCAACTTGTGTGCCATTCACGCCAAGCGTGTAACAATCATGCCTAAGGATATTCAGTTGGCTCGCCGTATCCGTGGAGAACGTGCGTAAGCATTAGTGAAAAGTCTCGGGAAGGCCGAGAAGCGTCTTGGGGGATTGAATGGAAACGCATTTCAAAATAAATGCATACATTGTAGTTGCTCTTGCGTGATGAATTTTTGAAAGCTCACTCCTCTCATATCTTTGACAGGATGATGGTGATCATTATTCTAAGAGTGAGGGAACAACTTTTATTTTATGTATTAGAAAAAATAATTGATATTATTATTGATACAACAGACTAGCTTCAGTTTCTAATGGAAATATTCCAATCCCGTTGGTCTATGCTGTACGATTGATAACGAGCTACTATTGAATCTCATCGTTGAATTCATCATCACTGTCGTCAGCAGCTGAAGGAACTATACCTGACAATTCTATTGCTCCTTCGTCGTCATCATCATCATCTAGTGTAGCTGACACGGCTGCTGGGAGCTCCATGACGTACGCATATTCCTTCGCATTCTGTTGCGGTCGCCACAGTATGGCAACGGCAATCAAAACGAAAAGATAATTCATTTCCATGGCGGCATCAATCACCCAGGTCGCTTCTTGCGTGACAATGCCCTCGTCATAGGTGTCAACGATGCCAAAAACGGCCCAAATGACACCGAAAAGAATCGAGAACATTAGAATGCATTTCAATCTAAGGTATCGCAGCAACTTGCGCGTTTGCTTCATGGTCTCCAAGTATTCCATCGTACCACTCAGCGAGTCAATAATCCAAAAGTAGAATATGAGATCAAGAACAAGAATCACCAAACCTAAAATGGACACGATATCGAACAGTTCTTCTTCCTCCTCTTGGCTTATTCGTTGAACTTCAGCAACCATGATCTCCGTCATGATGTCGTTCACCAATGAAATCACAATGTAAAGCCCTCCTAATACATGTATCTTCTTCATGATTGAACCAAGTTCGTCACGAATGACACCCCATCCCAACGACACCATCACGAGTAAACACCTAGAAATACCTCTCTTCAGCACTCCAATAATAATACCTGAAATGTTCACGGGGCAAAATCATGACGATCACAACTATTAGCAACAAGAATCCTTTCTGCAAACCCAGAAAGTATAAAATATTCCAATTTTTTCGATTTACTCACCAAGGTAGTATGCAATCCAAAACCTCTGTCCATCTTCGTTCCACACAAAGAGATCTCCAGAGCGGAAGAAGAGTTCTAGAGTTCCCATACAAATGGTACCAAAAATCCATGTCTGGATGGGAATGTTGGCATCTTCGAACATTTTCATCGTGATTCCATACCATAAAAGAATTGCAAAGTACGCCAAAAACACAACCGCATAGAAGTACATCAGTCCGAACAAATCACCCGGTAGGTACCCGTGCTTGCTCTTCCAGATTGTATGACCCTCGACAATCACGCGTCTCCCCTCGTCGTTGCAACTAGCAAAGACTACCACATACTTTCCGCTTTCTTCTGTTTCTTCGAAACGGCCAAATTTCAAATGGTTGCTGTAATTTCCTGTTGCAGGAATGTTGATCATTCTGTGCTTTCCAACATACTTGTCGGCGTCCATGATGAGCCTACCGTATTGAGTACCCGCGCACAACCCCATGGCGATGGCATCGTTGCTGCAACAGTATCTCAAAGCTCCTTCAGAGCTCGATTTTGAGCCAATCCCAAGTTCCGTCCAATCACACCCGCCGCGGGTTGAATCACATTCTTCTGGCTACTCACGGCAACAATAAGTAATAATACCATCGGCGTCGATAATTAGGGGTGAGTGTAGATGGCATGAATTATATTTCCTTTACTCATGTTGATGTTGTTGAATGACCAAGTTATGGCATTGCGATCAGAAGCAAAACTCACCAAACGGAAAACTGCGATGTCCAGAGCCGATCCATCCATATAGAAATCGCCACCCCCACCGCTGCTGGTCTTGTTGTTCGCCTTAGCATGATCGTTGGGATCGGAGGTTCCCGGACCATCACCGTCCGCGGTCACAAAAAGCAATTCGGACAAGTCCACATAGCCTGGAGTAAGCAGAAATCCTTCAACGAAATGAATGTAGTCGGACTATTATGTTAAAATGTATCCACAAAAGAATCAAACATGCAAAGAAGAAAGTTTAGCACAAATATCCGTCGTTTGCATTGTTTCGAAGAAAAAAACGTACCGCTGGTTCTAGAAGTAAATTGAATCCACGGATTTCACAATTCGCCACTTGACATAGTGACGACAGGCACAAAAGAACGATGACAACAATCTGCCCGCACGATAAGCTTTGTATCAAAACCATTGTTTTCAAGGTTGCTATTAGGCAGCTGCTATTCTTTAATTCAGTACAGTACTTTGAATCGTTTGGCTTTCGACGGCGAGCATTTTCTTGGAGGGATGCTTCTCGTTATTGTACGTTACCGGGTAAAGCACAGTAATTCTTTCACCCTGTACCGTACGATGCGATACGACTAGAAAAAATGATTCATTTTTAAGGTTTGAAACCTACAGCGAACGGAAAAAGACAGCCGCGCCAACAATCAAGAAGGACTTCTTCATTTCGCGAACCTGCAAAGTAGGATGTGTAGATCCTCCAGTCAAGCTCCTCACACTGGAGACGATTATCACGTCCCTCCCTTAGCTAAAGACCGGAGATTAGATGAACGTAGTAATAACTGCTTCACTAATAGATAAATTAAAGAGTATGAGTTGTGTAATCGTGACTCTTTCATTGCTTTGTTCATCATCTCCGTATTTTGTAGTATTGGGTATACGGTAATCCTTAACCCTATTTGTCAACTTTATTTTCATTGTTTCACAACACACTCCTGCGGACTTGATAATGCTCGTATGCTATTGTCTAGTCCGAAAGTCTTTATTGCTGTGATATAGTCTTGCTTATACTGTTCCATGTCTTCTTCCCTTATACCAAGGATCATATTTCTGAATCTTCGGAACAATCCTCCTTGCAGTGGCTTCGTGAAGAAATCTGCTATCATCCTGTCCGTTGGACAGTATCTAACTTCTATCTCTTTGTTCTTTATTCTATCCGTAATGAAGAAGTATCGAACATGTATATGTTTTGATCCTTTCCGGCACGATAGCCTTCCATTGTTCTGCAGTAGGATTGTGCTCTTATTGTCCTGGTATAACACATGTATTTGGGAGTCATCTCCTGTCTGTTCTGTGGCAAACTGTCGAAGCCATAGGTGTTTTGGCAGCTTTTCTCCCACAGATATCATCTCTGTTTCTGTTGAGCTGAGAGTATTGATTTTGCTCTTTGTCGATGAGGCATACAATGCCCCTGAGCCCATCGTGGCATATAGCCCACCATGTCCTTTCATGTCTGCGTGTACTGCATGTGCTCCATCTATATACAGGGATGTCCCCTTTCCGTCTGCTTTCAATATCAGTGGGAGATGTGCAGTCTTTTGCAGGTACATCATTTGGTGTTTTAGTTTCTTATAATCATGTTCATCTGGTTCCTTAACCCTTGTGCTTAGGAATGCTGTTGCGAGCTGTAGATCTGGTCTACCCCGTCTACTCAGCCATAGCGTTTGTGCTGTTATCGAGTGAAAAGTTACAGCCGGTCCTGGCGGGAGCTTCTTTGTTCCCGGTTTGGTTAGGAATAAATGTGTTGGGGCTGCTGTATCCTTGTGTCCGATCATGTCTGCTGGTAATTCATTGATCATCTTTTGGATATAATCATACATTGTTATTTTCACTTCACTGTTATCATTGAATTCGATGGTCATTCCTAGATAGTGGTGGGTCCTTCCACGGGTGATCGTCATTGGATCCTCCTTTGCATATATTGATTCAAGCAGCTTAATTACTCTGCTCACTACGGTTGAGTTCTTATGACTAATCTTCATGTCGTCCACATGGAAAACCACTGTACATTGGCTTCCGTCAATCTCCTTGTTCCAACAGCATGGTTCATATGGGTTCATTTCAAATCCCCAATCACTAAGATGTCCTATTAGTTTCTTGTAGGAGAGCAATGCGGCTGTTACGGTCCCATATATGGCTTTGTCACATCTTACATATATAACTGGTCTTTTCTTTTCCATTCGGATATGTGGTTTCCATCGCGGTCGGTCAATCTTTGCAAGTAGGAGTGCTAGCGGTCCGTCCAGTTTCAGGATGATGTCTCCCTCCATGTCTGTTTGAAGGAAGTGTCCCGGTAGGTCACATGTGGCCACATCTCGTTTCTCTTGTGCATCAATGATTAGCGTGAAGAATAGTGCCTCAATCGCAATCGTTGGTGATGCAGATTCATGCTTTGGTGTCCATAATTTCTGGTTACGACCGTCTGCACAAGCCCTTCCTTTTACTGTTTGGCCGTCTCTTTTCAGTGTTAAGAATAGTAGTATCGGTAGTGCCAGTCTCTTGTCCTCATCAGTGAGCGATTCATATTGTGTTTCACTGAAAACTTTGCGGGTCAGCATTTGTGTCAGTTCTTTCATTGTTGCCTTTCGTCCGTCCTCTCCGAACTTCTTTAGCCCTGTCTTGAGGCTGTATTGTGTGAGGACGAGGTCATTTATGAGTTGATCTTTCTTTGTTTGGTGATCAATGTATTCTAGGGCGTTCATATAGTTTTGGTATTCATTGAGTGTTGTGATCCGTGTTATTGCTTCATTTTCAGCTATCGCTCCACGTTGAAAGTATTGGAATTCATATTGGTTGTCCATTGGTCGGGCTAAGCCCCCAGTGTTCCGTATCCTTTCGGATCGTCGTGGGATTGGTGGATCTAACAATCCTGTAACTTCGAGTTCTTCTTCGTCATTGTCATGTTGTGCTTCCTCATGGTTTTGTTCTTCATTTTCATTTTCATCATTGTCGTATTCATTTTCATTGTCGTTTTCGTTTGTATTTGCATTGATTTCCTCCCCATCGCTTTGTAG